CCACCAAGGGAAAAACACATACAATACCTTGCAACTGTGATTAGGGGAGAGGTAGGTAAGAAAAAAAAAGAATAAAAAAAAAATGAGAGTATTAATAAAAAAAATTTCAATGTTTGCTTTCTTCATCCAAGCACACAGATCACAACAACTACTCCTCCATTCACAGTTCTGTTGTTTTTTTCTCTCCCCCCCACAAAGAGATTTCTCTCCAAGCTTCTCAGCACCTTTTTTCTTCCCCCCTGCCCGATTACTCACAAGAATCAACAAGCAACAATCTCCACCATGGTTTCCAAGATCTTCTCCACCCTCGCTTCCATCGCGCTCGTCGCGGCTGGGCCTATCAGCCTCCGGGCTGTCGTGCCTCACGACTCTCTGAACCCCGTGACGCAGCGAGTCCAGACCGGAGCTATTGGAGACGCCATTGCCAAGTTCAACCCTCTTCTCCACATTGCCAATGGCTGCCAACCCTACACGGCCGTCAACGATGCCGGCGATACCAGGTATGATTGGTCTGCAGATGACTGACCCGGTGAACCCGGACCGGGTCTTTCTCTGTATCTCACGCCCCCACAGCCTCGGGCCAACGTGAACTGACTTGGCCGGAACCCAAACAGCGGCGGTCTGCAGGACAGTGGCAACATTTCTGCGGGGTGCAGGGACCAGTCCAAGGGCCAGACCTACGCCCGCGCCAAGGTGGTCAACGGGCAGCTGGCCATCATGTACTCGTTCTACATGCCCAAGGACCAGCCGATCGCGGGCAACGTGGCAGGCGGGCACCGGCACGACTGGGAGAACATTGTCGTCTTCGTCGACGACCCAGCCGCGAACCCGGCACCGGGCATCCTCGGCGGCGCCGCGTCTGGGCACGGCGAGTACAAGAAGACGGCGACGCCGGACCGCGAGGGCGACAGCGTCAAGGTCGAGTACTTCACGACGTTCCCGACCAACCACGAGCTGCAGTTCACGGCGACGACGGGCAAGACGTACCCCATCTCGGACTGGGATGCCATGCCCCAGGCGACGCGCGACGCGCTCGAGACGACCGACTTTGGCAGCGCCAACGTGCCTTTCAAGGACGCCAACTTTGACAGCAACCTCGCCAAGGCGGCGCTCTAGATGGACCCGAGGGACCATGTGCGACGGCGAGGGCGAGAGGGAGGAGAGGCCAAGGCCCAGCAGCAGCAGCAGCAGCAGCAGGTGGTGGGAACGCAGGCGTCATGAACTGACACACGCGCATGACCACCACGTGCGCTGCATGTCAGGCCGAGGCGATCCCCAGTCGTCGTTGCATCTTGTACCGCGATCAATCTCCGGGGAGGTCTTAGCTCGGGCTGCTGTGCGCGGTATGTGGACAAGGATTTCCGGCTGGCTGGAAGGAGTCTGAAGAGGGTCTTCGCTGCTGGGCAGTAGTAGGCCCTGTACTGTATCGTATCGCTTCAGCGGCTCCTGGGCTGGGCTGTCCGAATGTGGTCAAAATGTCCGGCTCGAGGGGGGAAGGGGGGTTGTCTTACTTCAGCGTTGGGGGTCAGGGATGTGTGGAGTCTCGGTTTCTTGTTTGGTTGTGTTTGGTTGTCTTCAGAATAGGTAGAGAGAGAGAGAGAGAGAGTCAATGGGATTGCGTTGGTATCGAGAGGCCGGCATTACGAGAGAACCTGGTCATGTTGATTGGTTCGACAGGCCCCCACCCATGCTCGGCGATGCTTGTAGCGACGACCGACCCTGCAGAGCGCCAACGCGCACCAGCCAGCCCACCAGCCAGCACACCAGCCCAGCCCACCAGCCTACTGCCATGGACAGCACGCAGCGGACCAGCGCGCGCTCGGCACGCACACCAGCCCGCATCAGTGCAGCGAGCACCGTCGTCACATGGTCATTTCTCCAGCTCAGACGCCCCCTGACGAAAGTGGACCGGCACTGGGGCGTGCTTCCTCTGCTGATTCGTGAGACCCCATGGGGAACTCTATGTTGGACTCCACGGCCTAAGGTCTACTCGGGTCTGGATCGGCCGACCTCCACCCGAAGCCCGCGACTGATTGGGCCATGGCCGGCAATTTGACAGGCCTGAAGCAAGGCACGAACCCACCGAAGGGCCTGAAGGGGGGTACCTAGCAGGCTAGTCGACCCCTTCGGTAGCGAACCTATGCCACCTAGGACACTTAGAGAGAAGAGAAAAAAAATTCAATACCATGCCATATGCCATACGACCTCGGCCACCCACGACTGGGGACTGCCCCGGACCGAACCCCGGTCACCCCGGGCCATCCCTCCCAACCCCATTTTCTCCCCAGGCCGTTCCCTCCCCCCCCCTCTCCCAAGAGACCACTGCCCCAGTCGTGCCCAGCCACTGCCCCAGGTCGTGCCCAGGCCCCCTTCCCCAGCGCCAGTTGCACAGCAGAACCAGGGCAGTGAGTGACCCCAATGTATACATGGTACTTGTACGTTCGACGTGAGCACCATCGATGCGAGGTCGTGTCGTAGCGGCAACTCCAAAGGCAGGCACTACCCCCGGCCCATCAGTCAACCCACGAGAAGCATATCTTCTGCGCTTTCCCTCCCCATCTCAGACTCGGTCCTCCTTCCTTCCCTTCTCCTCTCTTCACTGGCATCAACACCTGTCGCCACTCCTCCCCTTCTCTGGCCTCTTCCTTCCTCCTTGCCTTCCTTCTGCCAGACAGTATCACCGAGGCCGTGTTTGCCAGACAAACCCCTCTTCGTTGTCCCCCCCTCTTAACACTATCAACATGGCCACCCAGAGCGAGAGCAAGCTCGAGGCCGGCCCCAAGCCGACCCCCGTCTACACGGAGCATGGCGTCTATACGCCTCAGGTCGAGCTCATCGAGGCTGCCGTCGCCGCCAGTGACGCCGAGGCCCTGCTCTCCCGCAAGGAGCTCTTCAACCGCTACTGGCCTGCTGCCGTCTACAGCATGCTTCTCAGTCTCGCCCTCGTCATGGAGGGCATGGACGTCGGTCTCATCAACAACTTCTTCGCCCACGACGCCTACCTCAAGAAGTTCGGTTGGCCTGACGCCACCGGCAAGCTGCACATCTCGGCCAAGTGGCAGGGCGCCATCGGTGCCGGCAACAACTGCGGCTCCATCATCGGTCTCCTGATCAACGGTTACCTCCAGGCCCGCTACGGGTCCCGCAAGGTCTACATGGTACGTTTGCCCGTCGCCCCCGCCCGACGAATGCCTCGACGGGACGCACCATCTAACTTTGTCTTCCTCTCCTCAGGGCGCCATGGTCACCATGGGTGCCACCATTTTCATCCTCTTCTTCTCCAACAGCGTCGGCATGCTCGTCGCCGGCAACGTCATCTGCGGCATCCCTGGGGCATCTTCCAGACCCTCACCACCGCCTACGCCGCCGAGATCTGCCCTGCCGCCATGCGCGGCTACCTGACGGCCTGGGTCTCCATGTGCTGGGGTGCCGGCAGCTTCCTCGCCACCGGCGTCCTCCGCGGCTCCCTGAACCTCAAGGGCGATGCCGGCTGGCGCGTCCCCTACGGCCTCCAGTGGGTCTGGGTGCCCCCTCTGCTGCTCGTCGGCTTCCTCGCCCCCGAGAGCCCCTGGTACCTCATCCGCCGCAACCGCATCGAGGATGCCGAGAAGAGCCTGCGTCGCCTGGCGCGCGAGGGCCACTACACGGAGCAGTCGATGGCCGAGACCCTCGCCCTCATGAAGCACACCAACGAGATGGAGAAGATTGAGTCGGCCGAGGCCAGCTACAAGGACTGTTTCTCCGGCACCAACCTTCGTCGCACCGGCATCATCTGCATGGCCTGGCTCATCCAGATGCTCAACGGCCAGTCCATCACCGCCTACGCCGCCATCATGCTGCGCTCCATCGGCATGAGCGCCACCATGGCCTTCAACTACAACATGGCCATCCAGTCGGTCAACATTCTCGCCACCGGTATCGCCATTGTCCTCATGGGCAAGATCAACCGCCGCGCCTTCTACCTCTTCGGATCCGGCGGCATCGGCGCCTGCATGCTCGTCATCGGCATCATGGGCTTCGCCACGAGCAGGAAGAACAGCGCCATCCCCGTCGCCGCCTTCCTCATTGTCGTGCAGTGCATCTTCAAGGTCTCCCTCGGCCCCACCACCTATGTCGTCGTTGGCGAGACCTCGTCGAGCCGTCTCCGCGCCCAGACCATCGTGCTCGGCCGTGCCGTCTACGTCGCTTGCGGTATCGTCGTGCAGCAGGTCAACCCTCGCATGCTCAACGCGACGGCCGACGCCTGGAACCTCGGCGCCAAGACGGGCATGGTCTACTTCTGCCTCTGCTTCGTCTGGGTCTTCTGGATCTTCTTCTTCCTGCCCGAGACCAGGAACAGGAGCTTCGCCGACATTGACTACCTCTTCCAGAAGAAGGTCAACGCGCGCAAGTTTGCCACGACGCCTGTCGATTGTAAGTTTTCCGCCCTTTTTTGTTCTTTTTTTTTTCTTTCTTTTTTTACGATGCAGGTTGCTGACTTTTTCTACCCACAGTGTTCGAGTTCACGCAGCCCGACAGCAAGGAGAAGCTCGAGTACGTCGAGCAGGTCGAGTCGGCTGGAGGCCGTGAGCTTCGCTAGATGCGATGCCGACGAGTGACTCGTATCCCATGTCCACTGCCTGCTTCTTGATTATGACACCCCGGGGGGAGGATGAGTCTGCCGTAGGGAGACTTGATCTGATGCCTACTAATGAGAATTTTAATGAACCCACGCGCATGATGAAAACCATTGCAGTGAAATGATACGGCGTCCCTTGATTGTGAATATCTCTTCCATGATTCCATGCGACAACCGCTCTAGTCCCATGTAGGGCGCCAGCATTTTCAAGCTGTGTTGTGGTCTCACTCCCCTTACACCCCCCATGATCTTCGCTGCATGACCTACGACCTAGTGTCCTGGCACGTCGTCGTCGTACGTCCCCGTCGTATGTCCCAGTCCTACGGATCTGACAGCTCCCAGGGTATTGGAGCCATGGATAGAGATCTAGTGCTGTGCTGTAGTAGCAGGTCATGATGGACGTGGACGACATGCATGACGATCTCATTTCATGAAAGGGGGTGGGAAGACTACCGACTGGGCTGCTGGGCCGGGCTGGGCGTGAACTGGGGTGGTCTCACCCTGCACGTGCTGCCTGACTCCGAGTGCCGAGCCAAGACGACATGTTTTGACTCACTGTGCACCACCACACACCATTATTTTTCTTTTCCCTGCCTGCCAAGGTCTACCTACCGATGCATGCACCCGCCCCCATTTCCCGAAGCGAGCAAGGACCTAAACGACATCCGGGGCTTGGCCCGAGACCCTCTCCTCTCCCTCCCCCCACCGACTTCCCCCCTTCTCTTCTCTTCTGCGGGTTCAGCCACGAGGGTCGAGCGTGGGCGAGGGGAGGTCATCCTGGGGGTGCCGGACTGTCGACGCTCCGAACTTGGTTGCGATATCCGTCGATCGGGCGTCTGAAGACAAAAGTGTGGACATGAGATCACTGTCTAGCCCGACACCAACGGCCCGGGGATTCAGATAGGGTAGATAAAGGCAGGTTGCTGCTTAACCTTACTCCGTGGAGAAAGGAGGACCCCCCCCCCCCCTTCCTCATTGACAAGACAGGTTGCGGTGCAGTGTCAGTTATTCCAACCCCACCAGCCCCCCACCTAGACTCCTCAGTCCCCTCTCTCAATCCCCTCAATCGCCCCTACCCCATCCCATCGAGTGGCCCCTTCCTCCTCTCTTTCTCCCACACGAGGAGAATCCAGCGAATCCCAGGGGGAAGGATCCGCCGTGCGCCGCCATCCTCCTGCCAAGAGCCAGGGCAAGAGCCGTTTTTCCGCTTGGCAAGCGTGCTTGGCTGCACCTGCACGATTAAATAGGATGGCTCTTGGCTTGGGTAAGCGGAGTTTCGAGGGCGGAGAAACTGCTCGTGTCCCTCTTGGGGGCTTCCTGGTGTACCTACGGTGGTAAAACCAGCCAGAGCAGG